GCCCAAACGCTTGTCTCTCGCCAACAGAAGCTGGTCCAATAAAAGAGATTTCCATACCCTCCTTGTCTCTCTAATATCCCCGTCCTACCTCCTAAATGGATAGTCACAAGTATGTCCTTAAGCATCATCCAAATGCATAGCGCTTTATGGAAACATGCAGCGCACAGCTGGTTAATAATGTTTTACCACCATCTAGTGTGGTTCTGATCCTGCAAATTGTTCAGCCACAGGATTCCCAGTGCAGACAGTGAGCATTCTGTGCATGGAGAGCTTGCAGGACCAGGCTCTTGATGGAGAATACTTTTGAAGTCTTTTTAAAAAGAAATTACAGCTACTGTCTACTGCCCCATTGCAACTAATGTGGAATGTCTTAACTCTGTACTTCCTGTCTGACCTGAGTAATTGGCAGAGGGATAAAGCTCTCCTTGGGCATCACTGCCTTGGGGAAATCACTTGTAAATACCTGCCATTTGGTGGCCCCTAGTGCATTCCAAAGACAAATAACAAAGCAATAACAGGAAAGAATCTCTTACATACCTCAGCAGAAGGTCTCCAGTCTCCGTTCACTTGTTGCAATGAGTCTATATTCACTCTGCAGGTCAGTGTTGGCTCAGGACTATTGGTGGGCTGGGTTTAATTGCGGAGGTGGGGTGGGAAACCAACATCTTCTCCAGACTATTTTTGGTACCCGATTTATTCCAAATTTCCTCTTTTTAAAAAGGGAACAAAATTGTTTCAAAGGAAACCAGCTTGCCCAGAACCATTCTCATGAAGAGCGCCACCTGTGAAGTTCTCTTGGTTCTTTTAATCTACAGGACTTTCCCTTGTTAGAACAAAGACTTGCGGAGAGTCCCTGGCTTTAGGAAGTGCCTAGCTGGCACTCTGGCTAGTCCACTTCCACACAACTGCTATAAAACAAAACCAGAAGTAGAAAATGTCCAGCAATTTACAGGAATTGCACTGTAAGTCTAGTGCATTAACCCCCGGTGTCACAGATGCCACTTGCTGAGCGTCTCCTAACAGGGAGTGTTATTAGCCGGGTAATTTTACTTGGCAGGAAAAGGGATGATTATGCATGGCTTTCCCTTCAGGGGTGTCAAATTGATTGTGTGGAGTGGCTTGAATTCCACATTTAGTCATGGCCCATAAACGGAAGCATAAATTTGGAACTCCATACCCACCTCCATCCACAGCAGAACATCTACTGATGTCAGTAGGAGGTTTGAGTGGAGATCAAGGAGGGAATCGGGTCTTTATAAAGTAACTAAATGTTTAGATTTTTTTAAGTATTCTATTGCCACATTCACTATCACTCAGTGGAAAAGCATACTCTTGGGTGGACCCACTGCTATTTTGTTTTTTTTCTTCCTTCCCCAACCTCCTTTCTCTCTATTCTTCTCTCTGCATTTCCTTCCCTCCTTCCACTCCCAATTCCAACCCCCCCCCACCCCTGGAATTTTCTCCCATCCCCAATGTTATCAGTAACACAATTGTTAATGTTGACATGAGACTGTCATCATTTCAGTCGACACTCCAATGGGATTAATAGGGGGCAGAGAAGTTCATGTGTCTGAGAAACGTTCTTTCAGACTGACTGCAGAATCAGGCGGGCAATGTGACATCACTTTACCCTTGGTTTGCATTTGGAAGGTTTCCTTCATAAGCGTGAGGAATTTTTTTATTTTAGTTTAAATGAAGGCTGAGATTCTGCCCAGTCTGAAAGTGTTATGGAAACCACATGAACACATCAGGTGGGTTGAGTCTGACTCACCAGCTGCATGTTTGATGCATATGTTGCACTTGAACTTAAAGTCTGGTTCTACTCTGAAAAGCGACGCTATCCAAAGGCCATTAATGGGGCTCCACGTATATTGTCAAATGTGCTCAATTTACAGATAAAAATAAGTTTTTTCTAACTGCAGCCCTGGAAAGTCACTCTAGCCAAGCTGGGTTATTTTCCCCTCTCCCACCTATCACCACGATGCATAAAGGTGCTAAGTTAGAGATCTTCCAGGAGGTATATCAACTCATTGAGATATTTGCCTAGTTTTACAACTGGCTACATAAAAAGCACTAGCGAAGTCAGTACAAACTAGAATTTGTTTATACTGCTCTGTATACTATACACTGAACTGTAAGTACAATATTTAGATTCAAATTGTTTTATAATTATATGGTAAAAAGGAGAAAGTCAGCAATTTTTCAGTAATAGTGTGCTGTGACACTTTTGTATTTTTATGTCTGATTTTGTAAGTTTTTAAATGAGGTGAAACTTGAGGGTACCCAAGACAAGTCAGATTCTTAAAAGGGGTACAGTAGTCTGGAAAGATTGAAAGCCACTGTTTTACAACAAGAAAACGTCTCACTTTCCCTTAAGTGGGTAACTTTAAGTAAAAACAGAAGTGGAGCGGATTCTGAATATACACAGGGAGCAAGTCTTCTGGCTGAGAAGGGGCCATTTGTACACAGGCAGTTCTCTGGGTAGAACTGCACTTTGTATTGCCTAAAATCTTTCAAGAAAAAACACAGCTTGGGCACCCCAGAGACAGTTCTGCCTCAAGTCGCACTTTTACTGCCACAGCAAAGAAGAGTTTGGGGCCTCCCTGCATTTTCTATTAGATCTTTGCTCATCTTGCAAAACCGCCACACAGTTCAACACAACTTGGTCAGGTTGGGCCCAGGACTGGAGCCCAAGTAGAGTAGCAACAGAGTTGTGTGGGAAAATGCTCTCTCCATCGTTGGAAGTTCCTAACGTTTGTGATTTCAAGTTGCATGCATACATCTAACAGAGTGAGTGAGTAAAATTGACCTGAATCAAAAATGGAGCTGGAAACCAGGGCATGGCCTTTCTGGAATAAAACCTAAGGACTAATACAGAGCCTGTTGATCCTGAATTACCTTCATGCCAGTCCAGCATATTGTTGACATGCTATTGTGTCAGCATGGTTTTGAGTATTTAACTTGTGTCAAATGGGTTGAGTTACCTGTGAGAAGTGGACTGTGGTTTAGGCACTGTGGGTATCAACAAGCAGACCAAGTGTTAGGTCTTCACTCAGCTATTACTCCCCTAACGATCAGTCATACATCCACCCTTAATGCTCTAGAACAAACTGTTACTCATTGCATTGCAGATAGCCGTCTTCCAACGTCTGACTCAGTCATGTTTCCAGCCCACCCATCCCTAATTTTAAATGAATGTCTGTATTACAGTATTCTAAAATTAGGGAGTCATTGCTTTGAAATTAATAAAAAGAATTGAGTAGTATGAGGTGTCTGGAGAATGCAGTGCTGGGCAAAGGCAGTGACTCCACGAACTTCAGAGTGGAGTGCTGCTTCAGGTTTTAATATCCATGGAGAAAAAAGGGGGCTGGCAGATACAACTGGGTGGATAATCATTTCTCTCTCATTATCTTGGAGGAGATCTGAATGTGAACTGTTGTGAACACCTAACATACAGTTGCTCCATATGCACCAACCATCTTGACTTAGTGGCACTTTGTGAGACAGACACCACAAGTACTGACCAGCAGTGATTAGGGGAGGTACTTCCTGAAGCAACTTGACATTATGATGACAAGTTGAACTCCTTGCCCCATCACATTTCCAGGGCCAACAATACACAAGTTTCACTTATCCCAGTTCTCGGCCATCTCTACTCTTATAGTTTCATCTCACTGATTATATTGTGACCAGCCTGCACATAGTCAGAACACATAGCACAGCAGAGAGAGACTGTGTCTGCCACAGCCTCAAGAACAGCATGTGTATCAAGAACAACGTGACTCGTGGCACTAAGGCAATCAGAGAAAAGACAAAGCTTCCACTAATTAATACCGGGAAACATGTGCTGGTTAAAAATAATCTGTTTATTGCTTAAAAAGTTGTTCACATAATCGCTCTAAAGTATTAATATTTATTCCATTGTGGGGGTAAGAGCCTTTATGAAAGGTCAATTTACGCTCCCATTGAATTATACTTAGAGATTTCATTACAAGCTTTCCTCATATTCGTACACACAAAAAACAAGCACCACACTTAAATACATCAGAAATGAGGTGTTGATGTTTAAGGTGAGATGCTCAGTAGAATACACAGCAAAGAGGTGTCACGTAGCAAATACAGGTGCCGCCTCGTTTACCTGAAGGCCTAGGGAGATATCCACAATGCTGGGATAAACGAGGTTTTGGGATGCAGCGGGATAAAGCTGGCCAGCCAACACAGACTGTGGGCTGAGTTCCCAACTCTGGAATACAGTGAAGAGAAGCCCCCTCACTTTGCTAAGCAGTTAGCTCTGGGAGTACCTGGGTATTACTGCAGGGAACATGACTGAACTAGTGTTAACTAGAGCTGTCAGTCATCACCTTCACTTCCGATTGTAAACTCCCACCCCTTCTGACTGGCACTGAACATCATTGCTCCTTTCAGATAGTTCCACTATGCTCCTGGCTCAGACAGGAGTCACACTGAGGGCTGGTCTACACTACCGCTTAAGTTGATGTAACTTACATCGCTCAGGGATGTGAAAAAGACACACACACACGCCCAAGCGACGCAAGTTACAGCGACCTAAGCACTGTCCATACCGGCGCTACATCAACGGGAGACGCTCTCCCGCCAACATAGCTTCTGCCTCTCGCGGCGGTGGAGTAATTACGCCGATGGGAGAGGGCTCTCCCAGATGTGCTATAGTAGCTAAGCTGCATCGGTGCAGCTGCGCTGTTGTAGCACTGTAGTGTAGACTTGCCCTCAGATGTGACATAAATGGTGGTGCAAGTGATGTGTGGTTCTGCCGGTGGAAGTTGATACAACTTACATGCTATGGGACCAGAAGAGTGGGTTTGTAGCAGGAAAATTAACCAAGTAAGTAAGTAAGAAAGTAATTAAGAAGGCATAAAGCAAAGTAGGGGAGGCCTATGTGCTTTTCCTGCTACAACCCCACCCATTCTGTTCCCTCAAATGTCCACTGACTCACAGATGATTAATTTACACCACTGCTTACATCTCCACTGAATTTGCCCCAGACACCTTCCTGATATATCCTGTCCTTACAATGGCAGAGTGATTAACATGACCAGTGCTCCTGCACTCTTAAAACACAAGGGCTTCTCAATCCCAATATGTGGCATAGACACGTGAATCCCACGTTCAGCACCAGGCACTCTGAGTCACTTCTTATGGTTTTGTACAAGCGCACTGACTGGGAGTGCACCGGTTTTGACTTGTGCGCGGGTTTCAGGTTTGTGCTTTAACGTGAAGACTAGGGCTCGCACTGTCCTGCGATATGGTGCATTAATGAGACGGGAAGAGAGATGAAAAGCTTCTCGCTCAATATTTTCAGCCAGTGGGTGATCAATCTGAAAACAGCAAAGTGTAAAATTAGATCCTTACGTTTAATAAGGAGACCAACTGATTGAAATTGGAGTTCGGTGGTTTTCAGAGTTTCTTCATTAATCAGCTCAAATTCAAGGAAATCTACTTCCCAACACGTGTGAAACAGGAAGAGCAATTTAATTCCACCCGAGCAATTAAGGAACAAGGCAACTTGGTCAGTCGCAGGGAACTCATTCGCATCTCCAGCTGGGAGGCAATGCTTTGCCCTCACAACAGGACACTAATCTGCAACCAGCTTTGGGTATCAAGTTCAACTGCAATTACAAACTACACTGCACTGTCTCCATAAATCTCACATTTGATCTTTCTAATACAAGGCACCTTGGATACTATTTTCAGCTCGATCCTAAAAGCAATTCTAAGACACTCCAAATACTTGGGAGCTTTGCCTGGTGCTATAAAGGGAAATGCAGGCTGTGTGTGGAAGGAGGTGTAATTAAGAATGCAGAAAGGGATTTGCTAAATGTTAATTATGAAGTTATGTGCCAAGATCTGTAATTTGGCACAGCTTAGAAATGTAAGAAATAAACAAAGGAAGAAATGAAACCTCAACTGCTCACCACACTTTTAATTTCACTTTTGCCTTTAGTGATGGGGAATCTCCCATACTTTCGCAGATGGGAGACTCCAAAATGTTAGTGTGTTATTATTAGAGTATTATTCAACCCCCAAGTCCTTGCCCCCATTTTATCCCCCCTCTGCTACCCATCTCCCAGTTGCCCCTGTCCTTGCACATCCCCTTCTGACCCACTTACTCCTGTCCCCACCTGCAGATTCCCCTCTCCATTGTCCTTGTACTCCCAATTGTTGGACTCCCTCCTTTTCCTGTGACTGTCTATACATCTGACTGACTCATACTGAAGCAAACTACACATCTCTGATGGTAGCTGCATTCCGGGGAGATTCATGCCTATGGGGGAGCAGGCAATGTTTTCCTTGCCATCCTTACACATGTGTCCTGTTTGGAGAGGGCAGTTTTAATCTCTGCCCTGCCACTGGTGTCTCTACCCAGCACTGCCTATTTTTGAAGCGGCATGAATTGTCTTGGCAGAGGGTAGGCTGCAGGCACCTTGTGCCACTGCAAACCCTGTCTGTTCATACCACCAGGCCTCTGTGCTAGAAACTGACACAGATCCAAAGGGCAGGATTTGAACAAGCCACCTGGTGTATTATGGAGCCTTTCTTTTTTATCACTCTCTTGAATCATCCAGTCATCTTGAGACATCCCCACTTTAACCTATCATAACCCTATTTGAAGAGGACAGGTGAGAACTCCTTTCAGAACATACCATTCACTTCTTAACTGGCCAGAGTGTTCATTTTTCCTAAGGCAAGATACAGCTAAAGAACACATTACCTTTAACTTTCCTTTGTAACTCCTGATTTCCTACCACTTGACTTTCTATTTAAAGGCTAATTAATGAATACATTAAAAGGATAATTATTATGGCGTTTAATACACCAGGCAAACTAATCATTAAGCCTTACAGCACGTCTTGTTCATTCACTTAAAGATACCACAGGGATCTAGTATTTACCACCACTTTATATATTATTGACCCCTCTCTGTCCATTTTTGCAATAAGTTTTAATTTACAAATACTTAATTACTGAAATACAATTTCCCTGAAACACAAAACAACCAAGAGGTCTTCGTGTAGGTTTTATAGCTAATAAACAGTAGGATGTTTAGTTTTCTATATTAACGTCCTCTTTCCCCTACACGATTTAAGCATAACAGACACACAGGTGTCCTGTTTGCGGACTCTGTAAATGAGAGCAGTGTCAGCGTCATTTTCACCTTTGTTTTCAATAGCCAGAGTAATCTGAGCAAAGGAAAACTAACTCCTTTGGAAAAACCCCCAATAACGGAGATCTCTCGATACAGCAGCTACCTACATACTCTCCTTTAAGCTAAAAAAAAATAAGAGTATCAAGAATATTACCTCTAGTTCCAGAGCATCGCAAAGTAGCTTCCGTGCATTCTTCCTGAGAGTCTCTGTTTTGGGATCGCTCCTGACTTCTATCGATGGTTTGTTTGAATAATCTTTGATGAAAGTTCGCCACTCAGTGTAAACGTCTTTTGCGAGATTGGCCACGTCATGGTCTGAATGTTTGCGCATCTTATTCACCGTGTGACCTGCCAAATAGAAACAGCAACAGAGTTCGTTCAACTTTGGTGGGTAGGTAAGTGTAATCCAGACCTGTCAGTGCACATTAGTGACAAAACAGTCACAAAGCATTGTAAGTCAGGGTATGTCTTCATTACCCGCCGGATCGGCGGGTAGTGATCGATTCAGCAGGGATCGATTTATCAAGTCTAGTCTAGATGTGATAAATCGACCCCCGAGCGCTCTCCTGTCGACTCCTATACTCCAGCACTGCGAGTAAGTCGATCCAAGTACGTGGACTTCATCTACATCATTCACATAGCTGAAGTTGCATAACTTAGATTGATCTCCCCTCACCAGTGTAGACCAGGGCTCAGACAGCTTCAGCAGAAAACTAAGCACTTGACACAAATACAAATATGAAAACACTGGGGCCAACGCTTGCAGAGTCCTTATTCACTGATTCAATGGTGGTTTTGCCTGAGTAACTTCCTAGGTGCTCGGTTATCCAGCTGTAAAATGGGAGTAGCTTTCCCTAGATCAGAGAGGTGTGTAGTGAGGTGCTCAAATAATACAGGGCTATATGAGTACTTAGACAGATGGTAAATCTAGTGTAAAGTCTTCAGGATTGGCTCACACAGAATAAAAATGTTTGCTAAAAAATTCTTTGGGGAAGTGGATGTTAAGTGATATTTGCAATGTTTTTACATGCGAGTGAGGAAGTAATGATTTCCTACTGTTTTCCAATCACCATCAGTGACGTTTCTCACGCCCACGGAAATGCACAGAGAGCTACTGCACCGTCAAGGAAATGTGCCCTTTCAAAGGGGATATACTACCGAACACAGTGGTTTTCAACCTTTTTTCATTTGCGGATCCCTAAAAAATTTCAGTTCCAATAAAAATTCCACAGGTTGAAAACCACTGACGTAACACAAAGCAGAAGGCACAGTTCCTCTTCTTCTGCTTGGTATTAATTTCTAAGTGATAACACTATTGGCCAGAAGGTGTCACTGTTACTCCTTGGGTTTCATACAGCACAACTGCTTCATCTGTAGCTGGTGCAGACCTGATGCAGTGGTTCTCAAACTTTTGTACTGGTGACCCCTTTCACATAGCAAGCCTGAGTGCTTATAAATTAAAAACACATTTTTATATATTTAACACCATTATAAATGCTGGAAGAAAAGCAGGGTTTGGGGTGGAGGCTGACAGCTCGCGACCCCCCATGTAATAACCTCACGATCCCCTGAGGGGTCCCGACCCCCAGTTTGAGAACCCCTGTGATATAGGAAGGCTGAATGTGCTCAAGATGGCAAATTAAATTACAAAATTCAGACCAGAAGAGCAGATCATTCCTCCTGTTCCGTACACAGAGAGGGCCCTCTGCATGAGGGTCCTACTGCTTTTGCACAGAAGGGGGGGAGGGAGGGGTCAGCCCTGGCACTGCTACTCTCCCCCCTCCAGTACATCTTGGGGTGATCTCTGCAAGATCAGGATCTGCACAAAAAGAGGGCAGGGAACTGGTGGTCTCACATCATACCCTGTCCCCCAGTCCTGTGAAAATTAATCAAGTTGTTGTGGTGTTATAAGCACGTAGCCCCCTCCACATTGGGGATTCCTGGGGGAAGAAAGGAGCACCGAGGTAGCTGTAACTAAGGAGCAGGGCCTCTATGCTGATGGCTCGGGCCTCCAGCAGATCCTGAGGACTTCTCTGGGTTTGCAGATGGGTCCCGCATCTCATTCCACAGGAGAGTAACCACCCATGACCAATCAAGGAGGAACTTTGTGGAGATTTCCTCCCCCTTAGTCCTTCTCCCACATATTTTACCATGGAAGGGAGTGACCCAGCCCTTGATTACAAGCAGGCAACATCCAAATAATTGTGAATAATTCAAGGAGAACTCTTTCTTTGCTGTAATAAGAATTTTGCAGACTATGTAGCTACCTACCACTAGGATCTTATTCAACAATAAGGTAAAGTGCTTAGGACCATTACTGAAAAATACTGTCAACAATTCCCTTGTGTATAGAAAAATCCAACAAGTGAAGGACACAAATCCACCTCATTTTCACACTCTAAATTAGATACGAAGTGCACCTATTTTTGTTGAAAGTAACACATCCTTAGAAGGTATTTTCTTCTTTAATTCCTCCAAAGCTTCGATCAAATTCTCTTTAGACTGGCCAGGAAGCTCCAGGACAGATTTCCATCTTTTTATGTCTTCTACAACCACCACTCTCTGGGAAAGAGAAAAGTCATTAGGACAGTGGAATATTCTTATTGCCAATAAAGATGTTGGCCTTCATCTCAGCTAATGGGGCTGTTATCGACACATGAATTATTGATCATGACATGAACCAGAGCACAGAATATGTGATGGTCCAAAATGATAGGTAATTGCTTGAGAGCAGCTCCCTGTTGTAAATCAGGACAGAAATATCTAGAAGGCAAAAGTGAGATTCTTAATCTTATTCTGCCAAACACAGGGCACTTAGCTGCAAATGTCTCCTAGAAAAAGAAGACAGTTATGCAAGTGTTCAGACTTTGGGAAGCCCATTGTATAAATGGCTTAATAAAGAGCGGATGAGAGGGAGTGGCCGGGGGAAGCAGCTAATTATAATATTGTTAGTAGCAACTTAGTACCAGGCAGCGCCTGAATCTGCCCCACTTTTGTTTTCAACTTTGGAAATCTTAAAGCAGGTAGTATCAGCAGAGAGAGAAAAGGAGCTAGGGAGCACCACAGAGAGACTGAAAGAAGCCAGTCATTAATGTATCTGGCATTTACATAGTGCCTTTCGCCCCAAGCATCTTGCTGTGACACTCCCAGACAACGGATTACAAGAAGCCCGAGTCTTGTTACGCGCAAGATGTAGTGCAAAACCTTTTACAATCATTCAGCAACGGTTATGCAGCTGGTATGCTGTTTGTATCCTCCTCTGTCTTATATTTAGATTGTAGCTCTTTGGCAACATTTTCTGTTCTGTTTGTAGGCACCTAGCACAATAAAGCCCTGATCCAAGACTGGGGACACAAGTGCTATCACAATTAATACACCTCTACCCCGATATAACACAACCTGATATAATACGAATTCTGATATAACGTGGTAAAGCAGTGCTCCGGGGGGGGCGGGGCTGCGCGCTCTGGCGGATCAAAGCAAGTTCAATATAACGCGGTTTCACCTATAACGCAGTAAGATTTTTTTAGCTCCCGAGGACAGCATTATATCAGGGTAGAGGTGTAATAATAATCTCTTGGCTGCAAAATAACCCGCAGGGGGAAAACAATGAAAAAACTAAGTATCAGAGGGGAAAACAATGAAGAAACTGTCACTCAAGAACGCGGTGCAAGAAGGGAGGGGTGAAAAGCATGCACCTCTACTCACAGATTGTCCTTTTCAATTATCTATATCATGCCCAGATGCTACAGTGATGGGCACGTTAGAAATGTTCAGATACAGACTGACTAATGGATATGCAGGAATCACTTCACTCACTGTTGAAATGCAAGTTACTCCTAATTTATTTATTTTTTAAACTTCTGCAATTAGGACCCAAATGGGAGAACACTCACCACCCAATTCCCACTTCCAGCAAGATCAAAGGGGGAAGGAAAAGTGCTATGGTAATATAAATAATAAATTATTATGAATGGCCAATTGGCCTGTGTCCTTTCCCTCTCCCCCTCAAGCATGGAGTTCTGCAAATCTTAAAGCCAGCTCAGTGTGGAGATTCAGGAAAAATACATGGCTCAGAGAATCTTTGTCAAATGCTTTAATCCCATGCAGGGAGGGTGGTGTTGGATCCACCTACACATGCTAAATGTGTCTCACAATGCATTCTTGCTGCCTATTTGAATAGTTTATGCACATTTTATGTTCTTTAAATACAACATTTATAAATACAATCATGCACCTGATTAATGGCACTCTTGGACGATGATTCCAGCATTAGTGTTGCTACTTAGAGCATTATGACTTCCCATAGGTTTAGAATGATCTCAAATAGTAACTGTACTCTGTACCTCTGTATTCTACAACTAATTATCAGTCCAAGTTTCAGCTATACTTTCTTAGCATCTGCAAAATTATGAGCATAGAAACGCATATGCACATAGATAGATACGCAATTACTCTGTATGAGCTGCAAAATCTATATGCACAGATTTACAGGACACCTGAGACTGGCTGAAAGTTTGACCCTACGTTTGTGGTTTTTTGTTTTGTTTTTGTGATTCATCATAAAACATTCTAAACAAATTCTAAATCTGTTGAACTTTCTTTAGAAAGCTTAGATCGTGCAGAATCTTGTACTCATGTCACCAAATATCTGACCATTGTTTATAAAATGCCTTTCAGTCTGATGGAGCGAGCCTATCCATTGTACTGTTTACTGACAGAGCACACACCACTGAACGGCAGCCATATGTGGGGAGGAATGCAGCAGCTATTCTGTGTCAACTTTACATGACTGTTTTCAGGTGAGGAAATAAATCACTTCTAAAATTGAGGCCACAGGTAAACTTGGACACAGGCTGACTGTAAGTACCCAAGATAGAATTGTGGCCAGAACAGCAGGAGTAACACCACACCTTGCTAACATTTGCCATAAGATCTTCAATGACCACACATATTTATTTGACAAATAGTATTTCCAGCAATCCAGTGCCCCCTCGTGGTGTGGTGGAGCACTAGCTCAGTAGGGAGAGAAGTGTCACCTAAAGTGACCAACACCATTTCTTGCAGCAACCTGGGCTTCCTTTGGAGGAGTCTCATTGAACTATTGACCATGCCTTAGCCTAGGAGATCTGATAAAATAAAGCCTGAAGTTGTATGCCAGCAGAAGTCTACAGAACAACTGCTACTGATCACCAGCCCTTTTAGGGTCCTAGAGTACAGGTCTAGCAAACTGGCTTCTGTGCAGCGTTCACATCCAACTGAAGTTAATTGTGGGCCATATTTACACACCACACACACTTCTAATTACAGAATTCCTAATGCTCAAGTGAAAGGGCTAAACTAAACTGTGCCCAATTTTACAGGATACTGAATGGGACTATTGCACACTGGGTTCTGAAATACTGATTAGGGCTGAAATCTTTACCCTAGAGAAAGGGGTGGGAAGTGATCCCATTTCAGTGTTAATGGCCCGAAAGGAAATTCAGGGGCCTATTAATTGGGGGTCCTACATCTAAGCATCAGATATGAATGACTTGGACTCATTAGAACTGTAAGTTCATATCTCAGCAGGGTGAATCTAACACATTATCCTTTCAAGCTCCAAATCTGATATTGCCTCAGTTTATGGTGTACATGCATTAAATGAGCTTAAAAACCAATGTCCTATCTGCTTTAGATACACATTAAATGTTCCATGGCAGTTTTTGTAATAGGCCTTTGCTTCAGTGTCTGGAGTACATTTTCGTTCTCCTTGCTGTTGTGCTGAGTGTTTGTTGTCTTCTTGGCTGCTGTCCATCTCAGACGCATTTCAGTGGTGCTGTATGTACTCTCTCAAGTGCTCGGTGATCCTTTGGGACAGAAGTTGCTATATAAACTCCATCAGGCCTATACTGAAAATACTATACTGATCTCTTATCCATCCATTCCCTTTGCCCTCCCCGCTCTTACCTTCAGAGATTCTATAGTGGCTTGCTTGTAAACCTTTTCCCCTGGATCTCTTTTCCTAGGGCTTTCTTGAGCTTTGGGTTTTCGTATCACAAATCTATCCATGATGGACACTTAAAGGTCTCCAAATTATTGGATACGTGCAGCAGCTGTTTCAGTGAGAAAACAATTGTCCATTTTCTTTTATGAAACTGTATTGGTAATATTGCTTTAACTTAAAGGCAGATTGTTGACAGAAATACCAGCAAAAATAACCTAGGAGCCTAAGCTGCTGGTAGATAGGGGAAAAAGGGCGGGCGGGGGGAGCTTTTGATGGCAATGTTACACTGAGCCCGGAATACAATGAAGCTGCAAGGCACAAATGAGGATTGGGGAGAGTGGGGGGCTTGGGCTGCTACCGTATATACCTGGGGCTGGCTGGGAGCACAGATCTGTGGCTGGAGATTTGGGGTGACACTGCAGGGTACGCAAAGGGGGTGCGGCACCATGCTACGAGTTACAACATGCCCTGAGGGGGCGGGCATGGGGTGCCCGGCTCATGCCCCGGGGGAAGGGATGGAGTCGGGGGTCCGGCCCGTGGGGGGGGGGGGGGGGGGGGCGCGGGGGGGGGGGGGGGAGGGGGGGGGGAGGGGGGGGGGACCGGCCCGCTGGGATGGAGCTGGGTATCTGGCAGGGCGGCGATGGGCCCGGGATACTGCTGCCCGGCGCTGGGGAGCCGGGGACTTAGTGGCTGCCCGGCGGGGTAGCGGGGCTCGGGGCGCACGGGCTAGTTACACGGCCCCCCGAACCGACTCGCGCGGCCCGTCCCGGAAGCGACTCGCCTCGTAGTTCCCGGCGAAGGCGATTCTCCGTCTCCTCCCCAGCTCAGCTCCGATAGGGAAACTGCTTCTCCCGTCAGGCCCCGCGGCGAGGGAATTCTCGCGATATCGCTCAAGCCCCGTCCTTCACCTGAGGGCCGGAAGTGGGAACCCGACGCGATAAACAACATCCCCCCCCCACGCACCCGCCCCGTGAGAGAGGGAGGGGCAAGATGGCGGCGCCGCGGGGGAGCCTGTCGGGGCTGGGTCTTGTTCTGCTGCTCCTGATCTGCGGGAGGGGCTGGGCTGCCGCGGGCTCCTCCGAGGCCTTTGACTCGGCGCTGGGGAGCACGGCGTCGTGTCACCGGGCCTGTCAGCTGACTTACCCCCTGCACACCTACCCCAAGGTACGGGACCCGCCGGCCTTATCCCGCCTTCCTTGGACGGGCCTCTCAGGGTACAGCTCTCCCCTCCGCCCCGCTCCTGCGCTGTGGGGCGCCCCCCACACCTGCCTCAAGGTACAGGCCTCCCAGCCCCCCGCGCCCATAGCCAGACACCGCCCCCTGCACTCTGGCCCCAAGGCGCAGGGCCTTCCGCCGGGGTCCCCCTGCTTCTCCCCAGCTGGGACCATCCCTGATCTGATCCAAGTCCGTGCGACTGTTGGCATGACAAGTGTTGCCAGAACATGAGAGAGACTCCTCAGGTCTATGTCGGGATGAGGATGACTCGCTTCCCCCGCTCGATAGCTTTTGAGGTTTGTTCACCCTGGTCCACTGGTTGTTAGTGATTCCTTATCAGGTAGCAGGTGCCTCTAGGTAAGGGGTCCTTGGCTAGGAAGATTCCCCCTACACAGCAAACCCAAGATATGCCCTGTTTCTTTTGCGCCCCCTCCCCATGGGATATAGATAGACTACATGAAATAATATCTCTTATTGGATCAACTTTTGTTGGTGGATGATAAAAGCTTTTGAGCTACACAGAGCTGCTCTTCAGGGCTGAGTAAGGAAGTAGACCTGAAGGAGAGCTCTGTGTAGCAGTCAGTAATCTCCCTGTAAAATATACCCTTTTGGGGGGAGAGGTTGTCTCTTTACCAGGTAAGGCAATACCGTTTCCTCTTAAGGTCTATAATATGTTCAAAAGCTATTCAAGCACAGAGCATCCAGATTTTGTTGTTGTGGGGTTTCCATGTGTCCTGTTTTCTTCTCCCTCCTTCCCTCAAAGAAACAATGGCAACTTGATGTGGGCTGCTCTGGCTTTAAAACCATACAAAATATCTTTGTGTGTTGACAAGTAAAAAGTCCTGAATCATGACACTGATAAAACATTTGAATTATAGAGGATGAATTCTGAAGAGTGGTTAAAAAATGAGCACCCCAAAAAACTTCCACCCCTGGGTTCTAATTAACTTAGGCAGAAGTCTTTCATGGTATCTATCTTTATAAAAGGAAGGTGTTGGAAAACTGTCTCCCCCAGCTCTGTTTCATGTTGAGGTTCAGCATCAGTTCAGGATTCCATAGAATTCTGAGTTACTGTTGGAATTTGGAAAATTCATTATTCTTTTCAGTCTTGTGTGAATTTTTGACTGGTAATATACTTTATTCTCTATCTGCAGCAGAGTAACAGGTTGAGTTCAAAATGTGGGGTGCACAAACAACAAACGAGGGAGACGAGAAATAGAGCAGAAAGTTTGAAGTGTGGAATTAATATTTTTAGAATAAAACTACATAATCATGGTTTTGAGACAGTAACTGTGATGTGTATACCTCAACAATGAGTGGAAGCAACAAAGACTTGTGTAGATGGAATGAAATGTATATCTAGAATATGGGACTTTATGCCGCATGTTGAGATGTCTAAGCATGATACCAATTGCAAAAAAGGCCAAAGTTTAGGAACTGAATCATTGTAAGATTAAACATCTTTTTTCCTTAATCCCAACCCCAAATCTTTTCCTACCGCAGATGAAATTTCAGACTCCTGTGGTGAAGCATAGTTGCCTTCTTTTTGTTGGAGGACTTTGGCAAGTTTTTGAAGGAAATTGCGACTCTGGTGTTTCTGGTAGCTTTTAGAATTTTTTAAAAAACTAGGCACTTTGAGCTCATTATTATAATATACATCATAAAGAGGCCAATAAAATGACACACAATCTTCTTCCTACTGAGTACTTTGTGACTTAAACAATCAATCTATCCTGTGTTGATTTTAAGCACTACTTACCACTAAGCTACCAAATAGAAATAGAGGTGGCAGGAAACTTTTTATTTTGGAAACATTCATTGTTTGGTTTAACTTCAAGATAAACTTCATTAAGACTTGTCAAGAGAATCTGTGTGTGCATCATACCTGCCAAAGCCAATTCAATGTGAATGTCAACATCCGAGGCATACTTTCTGCAGCAGGATATTTCTATTAGAGACACAGTCAAGGTTGTTAGACTTTATTAAAAAAATTAAAAAAATCTTGACCCAGCTTGGCAGTTCTATGTTTTTGCAGTATAAAATATCAGAACATCTGTGTCTGAAAGAAAATCACATCAGTTTGTTTGCAATGGGTTAGTTATATGGTAAGGTGTGGTGTGTTTGCCTTGTTCCTTTAATAATGGATTCAAAGTTCTCTCCACCTGTAAAACAGATGGTGACAACCATAAGGATGAGGACAGAGCCAAAAGACTTGTCTTGAGTTTTCCTGTTAATAGATTCACATGGTGTCAAATGCAGAACAATGTTCAGTGTTTACAACAACACTACAAACAACTAGTTTTGTTGGTCCTAACATATGCGAGAGACAAGGTAGGTGAGCTGATATCTTTTACTGGACCAGCTTCTGTTGGAGGAAGGTAGAACTGTAATTTGCTTTTGTTCCAGACTGTACAGACCTTGGTGTTTGGCTGGCTTCTAAGGTTTTCTTTTTGTTTGGTTTTTTTTGCTAGAACATTTTCCACGGTAGCTTTTATAGTACTCAGAAAAGTAGTAATGTTTGCTTGTTGCTACCCTAGGTTCTTGGATGGAGTATTAGTAATTTCTTTAGCAACCCTGCTTTTCTTGTAACTTCCCAGGAAGAGGAACTGTATGCATGTCAGCGAGGCTGCAGACTGTTTTCTATTTGTCAGTTTGTGGATGATGGAATTGACTTGAATCGTACCAAACTGGAATGCGACTCTGGTAAGATAATTCTATGCTCTTTTCACAAGATGTAATGTGAAGAGACAAATGAAGGGAAGAGCGGAAACGTATGAAGGGATATTGTCAGTTTGACTTTTTTTAAATTGATGTTACTCTTTAAAAAAAAGTTTGATAGAGCACTCATTAAAATTTCTCAAATTTTTAAAAGGGGTTTCTGCTTTGTGAGCCTTTAAAACATAAGGGTCCTTTTGGCCAAGGGAAAAACTTAGGTAATGTAACCATATTAGGTGTAAAATGGTTAGCTGACAATGTAATTTTCAAGCTAATGGTGTCCCTTTTACTCCATGCAACATTGTGTAATGACAACCTAATAAATGACATCAGTTGCAATGATTTTCATAGCCCTGTCTATTTGTTGGGACTGTATGGCTTTGTATTTACTTCAGCTGAAATGTTTGCTTTACAAAGCACAAACCTTGGTGAACTGTGTACTGTACTACATCACTGATATGGCCTCATTCAACTAAATTTTACAATTTCTTTACTATGGAAAGAGAAACCAAGCTTAACTACATTCTCTGCCTTGCATGTAGTTAAACAACTTGGTAGCTGGGTTTGTCTTGTTGAATTAAGCCATTAAATAATCAAACATTCATGAATAACTAATTGGTTAAAAGGATTAATTATCTGAAGATCAGACAAGGAATGTCGATAAATAAAACTGAAAATACTTGTTACAAACTATATACCAAGCTAATATTTCTTTGCAGTTCTGTAGTACTTCCAGCCAAGGATCTTAAAGCAATTGATAAACATTAAGGTTCGTATACTGAGATCAAAAGCGTGGTGCCAACCAAGCAAGGCAGGAGAGGGAGCAGCTCTCCCTATGTCGTCTAAAAGTGGTTAAGTGCCAACTCAGCACTAAAAAGAGGCTCAATCTTGTGCTGAAGACAAAGGGGGCAGTGGCCAGCTCCAATAGCAGAGAGAGTTGGGGAAAGGCATGTTAATGCAATACAGAGCTGAGTTATAGGAGCTGGGAATAGGCTAGAGCCGCAGAAAAGCACTATCCTGTGCACAGCTGTGCTCCAGGCATTTCTTTTCAATTGCCAAACCACACCTCAAGGGATATCATAAAAAGGGGTGCTGCAGCAAAAGTCCAAATGTAGAGCTGAGTCTGAAGTGTTGCCTCCTTTCCTGTACAACATTGCCACCCTGGACTGTTGCCTTCTGCCTGTTCATTTGCCGTGGTCTTATAACACTGATTTTGCTCATTGCTTGGTGGCTGTCCTGTGCTTTGTGATGCACTCCCTGACCATTATGTTCAGTTCTGTCTCTAGGTGCTTCTGTGACTGCCGATTGTCTGGCTTTGTAACTGGTTTACCATAGGACTGCTGCTCAGGCACCTGAGAACGGCACACTCAGTTATTTGGCTGATTACTGTGCATTCCCTGCCAGGATTTTGTCTGCCCTGTTTCCATAGACTGCCCATATCTGGTCGTACACTTGTTCATTTTCCTCTCCTGTGAGAAAATGGATCGTCCTAACGTTCAGTATGCACTTTTACTTGCCAAGCCTGTCCTTTTTGTGCCTTCTGGCCTAAGCCTCCCAATACCCTAGTGAGAGAGGATTATCCCCACTTGACTTCTGTCTCCGGTTCCCCAGGTGTAGAGACTTTTCCCAAGGTCATACTGTGGGTGGGTGGCTAAGCCACAAATAGAATACAAATCTTCTGGCTTCTCTCCTGTAATTGCTAGTCTGTCCTTTATTTTAAATATTGGATACGGATATTTGGAAATAAGAGCAGAGCTGACTTTACATTTTTGATAGAGCTTGAAATTGGTATAGAAAGTCTAACTATACTCATGCAACACTGATGGGCAAACCCTCCTTTGTTCCCTGTTATGCCATGGCGCTCTGACGTTTGATGGATTCCTCTGTTAGTTTACTTCCATCCCCTGGAGCAAAACTTGAACTCTTCCATGGTATGTGGGAGGGAAGGCCACAGTCCTGTGGGAGGGTCTTTCAGAACTCTGGTTGATAATCCATGCCATCTCTGGTACAAAATCCTTGCCTATTCTACTGGGTTGAGGCTGTGTTAATTTACGTCACTATGTTGGAATTTTCTATACCAGTAATTGCTCTTACTTTATTTTGATTGTTTTTTTGCTTTTCCTCATTTTTGTGATCAAATGCTATTGCTGCATTCAGCTTTTAGATATAACCCAGTTTTATGCCTATTCTAGATAGATCATCTAGATTACATCAACCCAAAGAATCCGGTACCAGTATTAGTAGATTGCTCTCGTATTATTCCTCAGGTGGGATAGGGAGTCTTTAAAATTGTCACTTGAGTCCTTATCAGACTGTACCTACACCTTACATTCGTGCTTTCAGTTGCTGACTTAAGATGTGAAATTATTTTTCAATTTACACAACTTTTCTTCTTTGCAGCCTGTACTGAAGCATATTCCCAGTCTGATGAACAATATGCTTGCCATCTTGGGTGCCAGAATCAGCAGCCATTTGCTGAACTGAGACAAGAGCAAGTAAGCATGTAGCATGATTGTCAAATGCCACCTACTTGTTTTCTGCTCAGATTCTCACTTTTTTTTTTCAAATTTAGTGTGTGTGTAGAAAGATGGAGAGAAATTCTCTATTTAAAGACTAAGACCATATTGGGGACAGTGTTAAATTGCTTGAATATGTACAGAACAAATCGAAAACCAGTTAATGATGTGTTTACAGTTAATGTCCCTGATGCCAAGGATTCATCTCCTTTTCCCTCTGACACTGGTGAGATCATTCTGGAGTGACATGATGGACTCAGCACAGAGCTTCATAACTTCCTCATGGACCTTCTACCTTCAAGCAGATGATGGCAAAATAGTTATATTCCAGGTGCTTGCTTGCTTTTTTACTTTTACAAGGCTTTGTGTGTCCTGGGTGTTAACAGTTGATCTCCTGCGTCTTCCAATCACACAACAGATAGCAGAGCCGTCTCGGCAAGTAACTGCATGCTTAATGTTTGGCAGCAGTCAGTCTCTCTTTGTAGTGGTCACTGGATTTGCAATGTAGAAAACAAAATTAACTTAAATGGATAGTGTGTCAAAATTTTTCCCCATTTCTTTTGCAAATGTGAATGATGTGTATGGGATGACTATAATTTCAAGGTTAATTGAAGCTTTATGAAATACAAATAATACCTTACAATTTTCATTATTGTTTTAGTCAAAGCCAGAAGTTCAATATATTCCACAGGACACCACAGATCTGAAAGAATCGTTGTTGAGCAAAACATCTGGTAAGTTGGTTTGGGTTCTCTAGAGTGCAAATGAAAATATTCATAACCTGCAAGAGTAAGTCAAATCTTCCACAAAGGAAAAAGTCATTATGGGCAGACTGTCACCTTCACCCTATGTACATTGCAACAAAGGCCACAGTAATAAATTATTTTTAAAATGTATTTTAAATATAGCGTGGTATACTACTGGATGGTAGTGGTGCCACACTGGAATTAGAACCATTTTAAAGAAGCTTTCTACTATCAATGTCTTCGTATAGACAGGGACTGTATGAGACTAGAGTTTTTAAACATAAATCTTTTTTTTTTTAATTGTAACCTTGTAATGGAGCTGTCATTGTGATATTTCAGCAGACCTACAGCCAGGAGGTTCACAGACACACAGAGGATTTTTTGAAGAGGAGGAAAGCAATAGCTTTTTCAAATGTCTTTCTATGTATGTATCTTCTACTGTCTTGTAAAAGCTTAAATGGTAGGATGACATTCCTTCCCCATATATTTTACATGTCATATACTCCATCAGAGAATCTCAAAGTGACAGAACTGTATTCAAGAAAGATGATGTTTTGGAGGAGATGTTAAAGGGGAGGTTCTGAGCACTTGTGTTAAAGAGCACACTGCTCCCTTAAGAAAATTGATATTAGCCACAATATACTTGTTGGCTATTTGGCCAACCTAATCTCTCCATGCAGTTTAACCTGACCATGATATTTGTTGTTTCCTGTCCCACGCTACTGATATTTTGCTGCAAACTGTTAAACAGCTGCTACATTTCACTGGTTTCCTAGATATGGCTGCATATCAGGGTGAAGTGATTGATTTGTGTAGTACTTTGGGATTGTCTAGTGTGAAAGGTGCTGTATAAAGAAGCAGTTTTGCTTTATTTCTAGTTTGATAGGCTACAATATAACTTTGCTCTTTTTCTTTCATTAATCTTCGCTACTGAGCAGCAGGATGCATTCACACACTTCTAGACATACAAAATAATGGGGTCTAAATTAGTTGCAAGAAAGATCTTGGCATTATTGAGAGGATGTTTTCAGTGTACTACTCACAATGTGCAGCAGCAGTCAAAAAAGCTAACAATGTTAATAACTAGAGAGGAATAGATACAAAAACAGAAAATCCATGGTACACCTACATATTGAATACTGCATGCAGTTCTAGTCACCTCATATCAAAAAATATTTTAGAATCAGAAAAGGTACATAAGAACGGCCATACTGGGTCAGACCAAAAGTCCATCTAGCCCAGTATCCTGTCTTCAACAGTGGCCAATACCAGGTGCCCCAGAGGGAATGAACAGAACAGGTAATCATCAAGTGATCCATCCGCTGTCACCCATTCCCAGCTTCTGGCAAACAGAGGCTAGGGACACCATTCCTGCCCAAACTGGCTAATAGACATTGATGGACCTATCCTCCATGAATTTATGTAGTTCTTTTTTGAATCCTGTTATAGTCTTGGCCTTCACAACATCCTCAGGCAAGGAGTTCCACAGGTTGACTGTGTGTTGTAAAAAAAATACTTCCTTTGTTTGTTTTAAACCTGCTGCCTATTCATTTCATAGTTCTTGTGTTATGAGAAGGAGTAAATAACTCTTATTTACTTTCTCTACACGAGTCATGATTTTATAGACCTCTATCATGTCTCCCCTTAGTTGTCCCTTTTCCAAGCTGAAAAGTCCCAGTCTTATTAATCTCTCCTCATAAGGCAGCCATTCCATACCCCTAATCATTTTTGTTGTCCTTTTCTGAACCTTTTCCAGGTCCATTATATCTTTTTTTGAGATGGGGTGACCACATCTGCGCGCAGTATTCAAGATGTGGGCGTACTGTGGATTTATATAGAGGCAATATAAATATAAATTTCTGTCTTATTATCTATCCCTTTCTTAATGATTCCCAACATTCTGTTCACTTTTTTGACTGCTGCTGCACGTTGAGTGGATGTTTGCAGAGAACTATCCACAATGACTCCAAGATCTTTCTTGAGTGGTAACAGATAATTTAGACCCCATCATTTTATATGAATAGTTGGGATCATGTTTTCCAGTGTGCATTACTTTGCATTTATCAACATCGACTGGCAACAAAATGATTAGGAGTATGGAACAGCTTCCATATGAGGGGAGAGTAAGAAGACTGGGACTGATCAGCTTAGAAAAGAGATGACTAAAAGGAGATGTGATAGAGGTCTATAAAATCATGAATGATCTTGAGATAGGGAATAGGGAAATGATTGTGGTGGTTGTTTACCGCTTCACATAACACAAGAACTAGGGGTCACCCGATTAAATTAATAGGCAGCTGGTTTAAAACAAACAAAAGAAAATACTACTTCACACACTGCACAGTCAACCTGTGGAACTCAGTGCCCTGGGATGTTGTGAAGGCCAAAAGTTAACGAGGTTCAAAAAAGAACTAGGTAAGTTTGAGAATGGGTCCATCAGTGCTATTAGCCAGCATGGTCAGGAACACAACCCCATGCTCCTGGTATCCCTAAACCTTCAACTGCCAGAAGCTGGGACTGGATGATAGTGGATGGATCACTCAGTTGTACTGTTCTGTTCATTCCCTCTGAAGCATCTGGCACTGGCCATTGTCAGAAGACAGGATACTGGGCTAGATGGACCATTGGTCTGACGAGTATGGTCGTTATGTTCTTTTAGAATTGCGCTAAACATTTGGCTGCTATTTCCCTGGCATAATGAGGTTCTTAAGGCAGAAAGAGAGATTAGAGGTTTTGCTGTCATGCATTCAAAATGCAATTAATGGAGAGATTTGTTGGCAAAATAGCTTAAAGTAGGAGTCCGCTTGGGATCTAGTAAAGAAACTGCCAGACTTGATTCATCGTGCTTCCCTACCCTGTACCTGAAGACAGGTAACTAAGGTGGGGTGGGAGACTGGTTTCCCAGACTCCTCCAGTGAAGCATTCAACTGAATGATCTAGACATGGGAACGCAGATTGGTAAAGCCCAGTGTATGTCTTTAGGAATAACAGTTTAAGAAAACAGGATAAACAACTTTAACGATGCTCATTACATTTCAGAAATTCTGGTTGGATTTTAACTACTACACTTGTTCTCTCCGTACTGGTGCTACTCTGGATTTGTTGTGCTACTGTTGCTACAGCTGTACAGCAGTATGTTCCCTCTGAGGTAAAGCGAATTATTCTATAGCTTACATCACCTTGAAGTTATTCATATTACTTAGTGTCTGAAATGCTATAGGGTCTTAGGTGTAGAGCTGGTTTTTTGGTTCACTGGCTGTTCTGCAAAATTAAAACTAAAATCTGCTAGAATCAAACTAAAAATGTTGGCAAATCAAAAGTCAGTGCATTTTGATCTGGGTTTAACAAAATTTCATCTGCATCAAAATGAAGCACTTTCTGTTGGGACATTTTAAAAGTAAAGACAAGAATTGTAAGGTCTCGATTCACAAAATGGGTGGAGGTGGTGGGGGTGCCTCCCTTTATAACCTTTAGCCCAGTAGATAGGGCACTTAGCTGGGATGTGGGTCACCTGTGTTCCCCTCTCGGCCGGCTGTGGAGCAGGGATTTGAACTTTGGTCTCCCACGTGGCAGAAGCATGCTCTATTGGCATTTGGGGCAGGTCTCAATCTCTCAAAGTTGTTCAATTGTGTGTAAGTAAATTAAAGTCATTGGACCAAGGACATAAATGTGGGTCTCCCATCTCCAAGGTGAGTGCCCATAACCGTGAGGCTACAGTCATTCTCACTATGACTATTCTCATTCTCAATGACTATTCAAGCATTTTGTTGAAGCTGTTCCACTTTGTATAAATGACAAAGACAGTGAAATGACTGCAGTGTCATGATTAGGGCTCTCACCTTGGAGGTGGGAAACCCAAGTTTGGGTCCTTATTCCAATAACTGTTTAATTACAGTGTTTACACACAGTGGAACAACTTCAGCAAGAGAGATAGAGATGTGATTTAGAAAACCCTCCCATATCCCAGTGCTGAGGGCAGTGTTACTCAATTAGATCTACCTGTGGGCTGTTGGGTTGCTCAGTGTCTGGTTTTTGACTGGAACATCCAGTTGAAAAGGGACCCTGGTGCTGACCAGGCCACTAAAAATCCAGTCAGCGGGGCCAGCCTTGCCTGGCCCTGGTTCTGCTCGGCTCCAGGAAGAGGCTGGCATATCTGCCTCCTAGGGCAGCCCTGGGGGCGATGCCCTCACCCCGAGCGCTGGCTCCGCAACTCCCATTGGCTGGGAACCCTCTTCCCCGTGGTAACCATGTTTGACAACTGGAAATTTGTTTCTAGTATCTTTTTGCCAGAGCAGAGTGAGACCTAGGGGATGTATGGTTACAGGTTGCATTCACTAAACCATTAAAGGGGTTTTAATAAGATTGTGAAAAGGCTGAGAATGGCAGGAACCTGTGGACATGATGTGGGTGAAGGGCAGGAATCTGACTGGAGGAGGAGAGAAGGGACTGGCTGAACTGACATTTCCCTCCCCCCCCCCACCCCCCCTCCCCTAAAAATATGCAAGACTGGCAAGTACCACACTTATTCTGACAGGAACATGTCAGTCCTAGCCTGGGACTCAGACTCAACTGTGAACATGAATTTTAGATGTCATGGAAAATGCAAAGTGTTTCATAGTAAGAGTTGAAGCATTGCTACTTTGTGGACCTTCAAAACCTCACTGAGAAATGTATGATCATAGATATATGCCAGAAGCTGGGAATGGGTGATGGGATGGATCACTTGATGATGACCTATTCTGTTCATTCCCTCTGAAGCACCTGGCATTGGCCACTGTCGGGAAAACAGGCTACTGAGTTAGATGAACTGTTGGCCTGACCCATTATGGCCATTCTGTGTTCTTATGGCTAAGCATGTCTTGAGTCTTGCATTCAGAATCTGTAATGATATGATCTTTTTAAAATGTTTAATTATTTCAGAAGCTGAGCATCTATGGAGACTTGGAGTACGTGAATGAAAAACTGACCAGATACCCAGCTTCTGCTCTTGTTGTTGTTCGATGCAAGACTGATGAACATGAAGAAGCAGGACCTCTACCCACAAAAGTTAATCTGGCTCATTCAGCAATTTAAATAGTTTAAAAGAATTTAATAGACTAATTCTAGCACTTCTATCAACTCCTGGTGTTTTTTTATGGTTTCTTCAGCTGCGGGGCTTAGCGGTCAGTGTTTAAATGAAAATAAAGTTACAGAATCAACAAATCAGTCTGTCATGGAATCCTTGTTTTCCTCTAGTAGTGAAGAGAATTGCACGTTTAACTTGCAGTTTTTTTCCAAATATATGTAATTGCTTTCACTGGAGTTTGCAATGTGTCCTTTTTGCTTAACAAAAACTGTAAGCATGCTCGCTACACTTCTACCATGGCACTTTCAATCAGTCATTTCTAACCGTTCTATGATGTAAGATCGGCATTCGCTCTTAAAAGTAGGGTATAAATTCTCAGTGGGCAGAAGATGCTTAGGTCAGGCATTTTCAGTTGTGAGTAACTAAGAACATTAATTGTAGAACTATTTGCAGAAATGTTGTATTATCCGTTAGTCTTTGCAATAACCCTTTCCCCCAAAATAGAAATGTATTTTTTTACAGGTATCAATATGCAGAGCGTTAATGAGGTACTGCAGGTTGAGTTCAGGCTGTCAGAAATGCAAGTTTTTAACGACTCATGGACGTATCCTTTTGCACACAAAAAAGAGACATGCTTATTTATTCTTTTGACAAACTTTAGCCTTAAACTCGTCAATAGCTTGTTACGGTAGAGCAGGGGTCGGCAACGTTTGGCACGCAGCTCGCCAGGATAAGCACCTTGGCGGGCCGGGCCAGTTTATTTACCTGCTGACGTGGCAGGTTCGGCCGCGGTTCACCATCCCGGGCCAATGGGGGCGGCGAGAAGCGGTGCGGGCGAGGGATGTGCTGGCTGCGGCTTCCCGCCGCCCCCATTGGCCCGGGACGGCGAACCGTGGCGAGTGGGGGCCGCAGTCGGCCGAACCTGCCGCGTCAGCAGGTAAATAAACTGGCCCGGCCCGCTAGGGTGCTTACCCTGGCGAGCCGCGTGCCGAACGTTGCCGACCCCTGGGTTAGAGCATACTTTTTCTGAAGGCACTCCCTTTGCTGTATTGATTAACTAATTGGGTCCAGTTGTTTCATTGTCAGAAACAAATTGATTTCTGAAAATTGAGAATAAATTTAGAAAAGTAGAATAATGACTGTAGCCTTTTGCTATGGCTCTCAATTAACCATGATGCACTCAGTATGAGACTCATCTACAGTATCCCCCTAATATATGCAACTTTACCACATTCTGCTACATTAGTAAATACTGTTACTGAATTGTATTAGTTATGTGAGAATATTGTTATAGCTCGTTTGTCCAACACAGTACTATTCTTACAACAGCAGCTACGATCTAGTGGTGCCTGCTAGGCATCTATAAGCAAGAAGGGACTGTGATGGTTTTCCTTACGAAGTCTCTTTGCAAATGTTTAGAAACTGGCCAAAATTATGTCTCAGATATCTTTAACTTTTTGAACTTTATCCGATTGTCTACATTCAGGTTAGAAGTAGGCAATAGAAATCTACTGGTTTTGCATAGCTTTTGTACTCGAGCAAAAATTATACTTGAGATGTCCAGAGAATAGCTCATTGCATGAGTTAAAACCAGAAGAATAATTTTAAGTTTGGTTGAGAGTGAGGTTTAGAAAAGGGTATGCATTTAGTAAGTTTCTAAAGTTTGAGGACTATATAGTTGTGGTTATAGATCATGTATTATGGGTCCATACTTAGAGTGCATACCACATACACTGTGGTGCTTGCTATATGTGGTAAGCATACACAGAGCTGCTACAAATCGGTGTTCTCTTCAAAACTATGTGCACCTTACTTTTTTGTCATGAAGGTGTAAGAAGTTCAGAATCTCATTCTTCAAGGGGTCTAGTGTGTTATTGTACAAACACTGAATTTAAGCCCAATTACATAGTAACTTTTGGTTGATGTGACATTGAAAGAGGATCTGACTTACAATCATGAAAGTTGGAGTGAAATGCTGTTCTTAACATGTCTTTATTAAATACCTAGGTTATACAAGGGTCTAAAAATGTGATGGTTGGTTGTGCAGTGCTTTAAAAACTGTTTCATAATCTGATGCCCAAAAATAGCTTTTTCTATATCTGTAGTAGTAATCAGTCCTAAGACTCTCATTTCTATGCAGTTGTGTACTTCAGACATCAGTACACAGCCTTGTTTGATACTAGCACATCAGCATTAAATGTAACTTGTGCAATGACAGTTTAAAATCTTTAGGTGCAAATGCAGACTTTATACCAGTGGCTATGGCTGGTATTCTTTGCACTAACTTTGTCTGCAGTGCAGTCTCTGAAGACATTTTAATTATCCCAAATTTTGACTTATAACTAGCATTGAATATAGCATATATGTAGCATTGAATCTGTTTTCCCTGTGATGTGTAAATGCGGGAAATAGTGTTTATGTAGCCTCACTGAAAGTATAACTGTCCAGTTGCCTGTTTCACTATGTATAGTACAGCTTTCATTTTGTCAATGACTTTAATTTTTAACTCATGAGTGTAAAACTGTTTTTTCTTAACTTGTATTTCTAAAGGTGGATGTTTTCAAATGTTTAAATTTTTAATTATATTTGGGTTAATCATCAGCTTCTAGTTTTTATTTTGAGCTGTAATATCTGCTTAAACTTCTGAAAACCAGAAATGAAAGGAAGAAACAAATCAACAAATAGATATAAATAAAGGTTCAAGTCTTGGGCCTTGTTACTTACCTGAAATGTTACTATACAATGAATAGATGCTGAAGTCCAGGACTCAGTAACACTCTACCATGGGTGACACCTACAAAAGTTGAATTCCTGTAATGAACTTTTCAAGGTATTAATTTCTATAAACAAAACTATAGTCCAAGGAACCAGACTTTCACAGTATTATACATTTCAGGTTTTATCCAGGTCCGTTATCAGAATCAAACTAATGCCAGCAGTTCCTACTCTAAATACAGACGGCAATTCAGTCATCTTGGTATTTGAAAATACAGTAATTTGTAACCATTATTGGAGCAGACCTAGGTCTTATTTACCAGTTTTTAAGATGGCAAAAAATCTCTATTCGTCTTCCTTATATTCAGATTCTCTGTTTTCTGAAACACTAATTTTGTGTGTAGTGATTTGGGTTTTGGCTCTGCCCAAAAATGAAAACTTTAGTAAACTGCATTAAGATATTGTAGATGAGGGACTAACTACTTCCTCACCTTCCTGTTCCCCATATTATTGTACTTGTTCCCTTTTCTCTTTTGTTTTGAGAACTCAAAAACATCTAAACTTAGAAACAGGAATCCTAGCATCTCCGTTGCTCAATAAGCAATGTATGATTTAAGTTACAAAAGACTGATAATTCCTGCTCCCCATGGTGCAGTGGCCATAGCTTAATTATTGTACCATCAGAGTCCTAGGTGAATGGAAGTCATAAATTTATATGCTTTTCTGTTCCACTAATTTTATTACTCTGCATCCATCTAGTTAGGGCTCGCATCACCCTAAAAGGCTGGCAAATATTACTTTAGTAGATGGAGAAACTGAGGTACAAAGGTTCTGATTTTGGCCAAAGACTGTTCCTGATTGAGCTGTGATTTATATATAATCCCCCTGCGTAAACCCAAGTGTTCTCTAGTAGGCTACAGCAGAGAGTGTGCTGGTCTCTGATTTCTTAGTGACTGAAAAAGATGAAATGTCCTTGCTGGTTCTTAGACTTAAGAGCAGAATATGGAGCTATGAGTCTTTTGTTAACTCTACTTTGGATCTCGAATGTGATTATGCGGGGTAGGATCATTCCAGTTATTTAGAATGATCCCAGAAGAGGATGGTGGATAACTAGCCTCCCTGAGCTCTCCAGGGATTTTACTGAATTCTTTTGTCATTCCTATTTTAACACTGTTTTTTAAAAAAAAGCTTGTATGACAAGCCAATTGGGAGGACCTATTTTTATAGAGGCACATGGTTCTGGTCTTACTCTCCTCAACAGCAGCTGTAAATTCTGTATGTATTGTGGTCATAAGCAATTACACTCAGCAGCACTGGTACCAGAACATGTAATTGAAAATCCTTGTGCATTAATTTACACCACAATTTTAGGTCTAAACTTAGAATGTTTAGCATATCCAGAACTGCAAGGAGACCACATGCCAAGCCACTTGTAGCTTTGTTTTTTCAACATAGTAGTCTTCCCAAAGAGGAACTGCAACCCTAATTGAGGATATTACAAAGCTCCTTAAACGCTAGATCAATATTTTTGACTATTATATGTAATATTTTCATAAATGGTTTGTATGGAGTATCTTTAACAAACGTCTATGGCACCAGTCTGCTTGTGTGTTCAGTGCTTCCCTCCCTGCCAGAGTATGTTCTCCTAGAACAGTCATTTAAGCTGTAAATCTTGCCCAGGCAGGAACTAGCCCTTTATGCTTGGACAGTATCTATCATGTTGAGACTGCATGAGCTAGTAGGGGCGCATCAGTCTGAGCAAGAGGCTGACCTAAGATGTGCTGTGGGCTTGGACATTTGAACTGGTAGGTATAGGGTAGCCCAAGGTGATTAGATATGTGGAAACTGATGCATCACCCATCACAAATGAAGCGTGACCGTATCTCATTAGATGTTTGCTGTATGTTTGGGCCCAGCAATAAATCTTATGTGCCCAGAGTCTCTCAAGGCTTCTTTGGGTATGTTTGAGCTAGAGAGCAAAAGACTGGAAAGAAAATTGAAGTTCCCTTATAGCGATGACCTAGCAATATTTGGATGATTAAGAAACAGCTTAGCGTCTCCCTTGTCAAAGCACACTAATTCTAACTGGATCTACACTACAGAAGAAAGCAGCATCTTCTGAAGACCTATGTTGGAAGTAATATTCTCCTTTCCTGTTAATGTGGATAGTGCCTCAAGTGTCTCTCCTATTTGCATTTACCTCTGGGTTAAAACCGATTTTAGTTTTCCAATTCTTTTCTAGTTTGGAATGTTTCCTTTTCACTACTCATCTTTGTGGAACGAGAGGCACAGCAACTGCTTTTGCTTTAGTGCCTGTGAGGATGATTCATTGTTATTTCACGATTTCAGATAACCATCCTCTGCCCTGGGTGCGATCACATTAAAACAGACAATAACGTTCCCATTGCAATAGCTGTGTATATGCCCATCCCTAAATCACAATCCTAGTACTAGCTCACTATCTAGGTGTCTCCTTATCATTTAACCCATCCTCCTTACATTTTCAAGAAGGTGACAGGTATTACACCATGTCTGGAAAATTAAATTCTGCTCCTGGCTATTGTCCTCAGTAAGCTCTGTTCTGCTAAGTCGCTAGTAAAATAGCATGTGGGAGTGTTGAATAACGGCGGTGCCCTGAGCTGTTTGTTTTGTAGTTATTACTGTCTGCTTACTGGTTTACCCAGGAGTCACATGATGTACCTGCATTGCCAGACAAAGTTCTGAGCTGCTGCTGTCCCCGCTATTTACCTTCTTTCCCCTAACCACCAGCATTCCATTTTATTTCCATCCACAGCCCTCCTGCAGATCCCTGGGTCACCCCATTTCCTGATCAATCTCCCTTTCCCCTCCCACATCGCACACAGGCCCCATACATTTCACCCCACAGGTGAAGTATGATGATGTGCTCCCACAGTAGAGATGGGATTTGGGGGGAAGGGAGATGTGTGCCTTGCCAGCAGGGCTGGCTCCAGGCACCAGTGAAGGAAGCAGGTGCCTGGGGTGGCCAATACAATGGGGCGGCACGCCGGGAATTCGGCGGTGGGTCCCTCAGTCCCTCTCTTCCTCTTTGAGCTGCTGCCGAAGTGCCGCCTAATCGGGTTGGGTTTTTTTCGCCGCTTGGGGCGGCAGAAAACCTGGAGCCGGCCCTGCTTGCCAGCTCCTATTCTTTTACCTCCTGCAGAGGAGGAAATGGTCAGATGATGGACACATGTAAGACCTTAGACCTAAGCCAATGTCCTATACTAGAATAAAACAAACACGAATTCCTTTTTCTTACGTTGTTGGGGAAAGAAGAGGTAGAGGCTCTCTTGCCTGACCCAGTGACTCCTCTCTGAAGATGTGCTGGTGCCAGCGAAGTTGGGTTTGCAGACTACAGCAAAGCAGCATCTGTCCTTTTGCTACTTGCACCCATTGTTGGGCTCACATCCACCAGCAGGGAAAGATAAAGCCTGAGTCAAATAGCAGTGGAGATAAAATGAGGGGAAAGGAGGGGTGGAAGGAAGATACACAGAAAAAGGTACGGTGGTGGTGGTTCTGAAAGTTTTGAATATTAGGCTTAAATTAACTGGCTCTTTCTTTTAATCCTGCCATCAGTTCTCGGGTTTGTTTTCAAAATCCACGCTGAAACTAGAAAGAAAAGGGAGAAGAAAATTCCTGTTCAGTTGGTTTGCTATGTACTGCTGTCAAAAGCTATAGCAGAGGGGCTGGAGTATTATCTATGTTAGATAGAGCCCTTTACTACTTTAAAGCATGGCACCAATACATACTGAGCCTGCGCGCCCCTCCAGGGTAGATAAGTGTTATCCCTGTTGCATGGACTCTTAGCAGGCCTGATTCTCCTCACACTGGTTCTAAATGTTGATTTTTTGAAGGAGGGTCCTCCTACTTTACGCCAATGTAAAAGAGGGAAATCAGGCCTGCTAGGAGTTGGATTCTCAGAAGTGCTGAGCACCTTTGAAAATTCAGATCCTAAGGGTACGTACACTACCATAAAACACCCCAGGCTGGCCCAGGTCAGCTGCCTCAGGCTCGCAGGGCTACAAAATTGCACTGTAGCTATTTGGGCTAGGGCTGGAGCCTGGGCTCTGGGATTCCATGAGGGAGGAGGGTCCTTAATGGTGTCTTTGTTCTGGGGAGAGGATCTGTCCCTTTCCTACCTGCCACACACACATTTGTCCTTGGTTGCTTTGATCTCCCTTTCATCTTGGGGCTGCGTATCATGGCGCTGCCATCTATTTCCTTTTTAGCACTTTCCCACAAACCAAAGGGAGCGTCTTTCCCTGACACTGAAGGCAGAAAGATGAAAAATGGACTCAGACGGGCAAGGTTAGAAGGATGGGCTTTTCCAAAGTGCCTCCGGGCCTCTCTGCTCCCACGGCAGGCAGTGGGAGCTCTACACACACTTCAGCGGGAGCAGAGTCAGGCCGGTGACAAGCACTTCCAGAAAGCCTACGCCAACGCTCTGTGGCAGTTACCTAGTGTGTCTGCAGCCACAGTAACTTCTAGTGTGTTTGTTAACACAGTGACACTCAGCGTTCTGGCTGGGGCCAGCTAATGCTATTGCAGACAGACCGCCGCCTTTCCTGCAGCTCTGCCAAAGCGCCTCCCGCCCTGCCAGCCCAGCTCCAAGTGCAGCTTTAGTTGTGCTGAGCTGTGTGGTGTTTGCTAATGTGTCCACTAGGGACCAGGCTATGACCACCCAACTCTCTCTCACTTCCGCCCAGAGCCAGAGAAAAGGCTGATGCTGCCTCTGCTGCCATCCATCAGGCCCTGTATCATATGTGTATGACTTTAGATTAGAATGACTCTTTCCTGTCTACCTCTGTTTCTCTTAGTAACCAGGTAACACAGCAGCAGTGCCCTTCATGGTGTAGACTCTCATTAAAACAGAACCATCTGAAAGAGACGATCTGCCTGCAAATGGCATGGCTGAACCCTGTACTGGAAAAAAATTGCAAGGCTTTTTCAACTCCTATTAAGTAAAACATTGTGACTATACCTAAATATGAACAGAACTCATCCTCAGGTAATTTTATCCCCTTCGAAAAATGTAATGACTTTTTAAAGAATGCTGATATGCATTCAATTTGTCTGGCCTCTTTCCTGCTGGTTGCTGTACAATAGCTAGTTGTTTATACCTAAAAGTAATTCCACCAAAAGAAAAATATTTATCTTAAATGCTGAAATTGTATTAGCTTTTGCTTTACAAATGGGTGAATGAGATGCAAAAGACGATCTAGCTACCATTTTGTTAATGAAATATCTTCCACATTTTAAGATAATTTCATCTTTCTTTTTATATAAAGGTAATGAAATGTATAAAATGTATTTACATATAAAATGACACAGAAGCACCAGAAAAATGTAACTAACGTTATTTGAAATTACCTGTAAACATTGCTTCTTTTAAGCTATGTATTTTATTTCTCTTATTTATAGAGAAGTTTTGGTGGAATCTTATTTGACTCAACAAAGTCCTCCTCTGAAGAAAGAGGTAATTAATAAAGTATAATTGAGTGGCTTGGTAAAGAAAGTGGAAATCAATAGATATATTCTTCTTATCCACATAATATAAAATACAAGCAATGTTTTACAGTTTCTTGGGTGGCTTTTCTTTTATTAATGAATATAAAACTGATGGGTATAAGCTGCCTTTTGCTGGTAGGGAAATGGCATGCTATTTGGTACCTAGTACTGCATGCAACATCTTGTAGCAACGGAATCTTTTTGTGAAGGAAGAGATCATGAAGAATGTCTAAACGCCCTGCAAGTTCTTCATGTGTTTCAAAAAAACAATCTCCTATACTCATCGGGGTGACATCTGCATTGCCAACTTCAGCCATTGTTGTTTATTGTCCATTTAAAAATAAAAATGTGAAAATAATAAAATTCAGTAGGAAATATTTGCAAGTCAGGAAGCAATGGCACTTTATTGCTATCTTTCTCACAGCGGTAGCATTGGTTGCAATCATTATACTTAATGTTTGTAAACACTTTTGTGTCATAAACACACATTCTATTTTCACATGCTCATGATTTTCTGAAATGTTTGCCTTTGGAGATGAACGGTTCCCTGTACAAAGGTGAATTGTGTGTCTTTCAAATGGGGCCAAAATCTCAGCAGCAGTGGGCCAAAGACCATGCTTTCATTCATGTTTGTACACCACTGAGCACAGCTGGCACTTGACAAATTGCTAATGAAATGCAAACACTGTGTTAATGCATCATTACGATTTTGCAGATAACATTCAAGGTCAGGGGGGAAAAAAAAGGTGGAACATACAACTTAATTCTATTCCTTTGGACTGATGCATTATGATAGTCTTTAATTATGTGACTACATACTATTTCTCAAACAACATACTGAAATTGGGTCTTTTCCCCCAATTACTTTAGAAACGTGTGATTCTATGGAAATGTGATGCTGAATTTGTAGACATAATACGGACGTATAAGGGAACAGAGTTAAGGGTTTGTGTTCAGCTTTAACTTTCACATTTCCTGACTTTTGGGGACTTAACTGTGTAACCTTAAAGTTGTAAAAATGCAGTTTGATCATTTCATTTCCTAGGTTTTGCTCTGTTTTTTCTTTTTCTTTTTTTTTAAACGATCTATTACAACTCCAACTCTCTAATTCTTTTCTCTGGAAATGTAAGTAGTCATTGTGAGGGTCTATTCTGTAACAATTTCTCATTAGTATTGGCTGTGTCCCTATAGCAGAATGTAACATACTAGTGGTGAGAGGAGGGACACTCCGAGCATGGGGTTGCGTCCCTGACTATCTTGACTAATAACCTTGAAGGACCTATCTTCCATGAATGTATCTAATTCTTTTTTGAACCCGGTATACTTTTGGCCTTCACAACATCACCTGGCAACGAGTTCCACAGGTTGACTATGTGTTGTTTTGTTTAAACCAGCTGCCTATTCATTTAATTGGGTGACCCCTAGTTCTTATGTTATGTGAAGAGGTAAATAATACTTTTTCTCCATGCCATTCATAACTTTATAGACCTCTATCATATTCCCCTTTAGTTGTCTCTTTTCTAAACTGAACAGTCCCAGTATTTTAATCTGTCCTCATATGGAAGTTGTTCCATACCACTAATCATTTTTTTGCTTCTCTGTATCTTTTCCAATTCTAACATATCTTTGTTGAGATGGGGCAGCCAGAACTGCACGCAGTATTTGTGATGTGGGGGTACCATGGATTTAGATAGTGGCATTATAATCTTTTCTATTTTATTATCTATCCCTTTCCTTAATGGTTCCTAATATTCTGTTAGCTTTTTTGGTGGCTGCTGCACATTGAACAGAAGTTTTCAGAAAACTTCTATGATGACTCCAAGATCTCTTTCTTGAGTGGTAACAGCTCTAATTTAGACCTCATCTTTTTTATGTATGGTTGGGATTATGGTTTCCAATGTGCATTACTTTGCATTTATCAACATTGAACTTCATCTGCCATTTTGTTGCCCAGGCACCTAGTTTAGCGAGAGCCCTTTGTAACTCTTTGCAGTCAGCTTTGGACTTAACTATCTTGAGTAATTTTGTATTGCCTGAAAACTTTGCCACTTCACTATTTCCCCTTTGTCCAGATCATTTATGAATATGTTTAGGGTTACCATATCTGAACTTTCAAAAAAGAGGACACTCCGGGGGGGGGTCACCCCGCCCCCTAGCCACTCCCTCCCACTTCCTGCCCCCTGACAGCCCCCCCAAACTCCCGACCCATCCCCCCACTCGCTCCCTGTCCCCTGACTGCCCCCCTTCTCCAACTCCCCGGCCCCCTTACCATGCGGCTCGGCTTAGAGCAGGTGTCTGGCTCCGCGCCCCAAGAAGCGCCCCACTCCGCCCCGCCCGAGCGCTGCCGAGCGGCGTGCTGAGGCTGTGGAGGAGGGGGGAAGCAGGGGAGGGGCTCTGCCCGCCGTTGCCAGCCCCGCCGCCGCGTTCCCTCACAGGCACACAGCCCCGCCCCCCCAGTGCTGCCTGGCGGCGTGCTAAGGCTGCAGGGGATGGGGGGAGCCGGGAAGTGGCTTTGGCTGCCGAGGCCCCAATGCGAGCGGCGCTCGGCCGCCCTGTCAGCCGCTTTTCAGTCGATAAATAGCCGACCGGGGGGAAATGCCAGACATTTTTAGATTTTTAGAAATCCCCCCCGGACGGCTATTTAAAGAGCAAAAAGCCGGACATGTCCGGGGAAATGTGGACGTATGGTAGCCCTAAATATGTTGAACAGCAGTGGTCCCTGTACAGATCTTTGGGGCACTCTGCTATTTACCTCTTTCCATTGATTGGTGAGGCATGATTTCCCTTTACAGAAGCCATTTTGACTCTTCCCCAACATTCTGTATTCATGATGTGTCTGATAATTCTGTTCTTTACTATTGTTTCAACCAATTTGTGAGGCTTACCGACCTGTAATTGCCAGGATCGCTTCTGGAATCCTTTCTTAAAAATCAGCATTACATTAGCTGTCCTCCAGTTATCTGGTACAGAGGCTGATTTTAAGCATTGGGTTACCTACCACAGTTAGTGGTTCTGCGATTTCATATTTGAGTTCCTACAGAACTCTTGGGTGAATACCATCTGGTCCTGGTGACTTATTACTAGGGTCCTACCAAATTCACAGTCCATTTTGGTCAATTTCCTGGTGATAGGATTTTAAACCTCATAAATTTCATGATTTCAGCTATTTAAATCTGAAATTTCACAGTGTTGATTGGGGGGGTCACAAGGTTATTTGTAGGGGGGTTGTGGTACGGCTACCCTTACTTCTGCGCTGCTGCTGGTGGCGGTGCTGCCTTCAGAGCTGGGCAGCTGGAGAGCGGCAGGTGCTGGCTGGGAGCCCAACTCTGAAACCAGAGCTGGCGCCAGCAGCAGTGAACAAGTAAGGATGGCATGGTATGGTATTGCCATCCTTACTTCTGCACTGCTGCTGGTGGGGCGCTGCCTTCAGACCTGAGCACCCGGCCAACAGCTGCCGCTCTCCAGCCACTCAGTTCTGAAGGCAGCGCAGAAGTAAGGGTAGCAATACTGCGACCCCCTACAATAACCTTGCGACCCCCCCCTGCAACTTTTGCGTCAGGACCCCCAATTTGGGAAATGCTGGTCTCCCCGTGAAATCTGGTCTTTTGTGTGCTTTTACCCTTTACCATACAGATTTCACGGTCCATGACGCGTTTTTCATGGCCGTGAATTTGGTAGGGCGCTGCTTATTACTATTTAATGTAGCGGTTTGTTCCAAATCCGTCTCTATTGACACCTCAATCTGGGACAGCGCCTCAGATTTGTCCTCTAAAAAGTACATCTCAGGAGTGGGGATTTCCCTCACACGCTCTGCAGTGAAGACTGACACAAACAATTCATTGACGCTGATGAGAGTTTTGCCACTCATTTAATGGGCCAGGATTTCTCCTGGGGACAGGGCCGGCTCTGGCATTTTGGCCGCCCCAAGCAAAAAAAAAAAAAAAAAATACGGGGCGGCCAGAACGGCAAAGCAAAAAAAAAAAAAAAAAACCGGCGGCGGGGGCGGGGCGGGGGTGGGGGGGGAGCGGGGGGGGGGGTCCTGTTTCAACTTACTGTGTCACTGGTCTGCTGGCATTGACAGCATTACTAAGGAGTGTGCTGACAGAGAGAGAACACACAGACTAAATCCTTAACAGATTATGCTCAGAGATTTCTGAGATGTTAGAAACAGAGCTGAGGGGTAAAAAGACCTTGGTGAATGTTCATTTTAATTTTTAAACCTAAGTTTGCTCTGACTGAGTTCGAGTCCTTTTGTGTTCGTTTTGCTGCAAATATTCTAGTGAACAAGCTTAGTTAGCACAAGTCAGCTCTTTGGCGCATGGAGCATCTTTTTGTTCTGTGTCTGTGCAGCACATACCACAATGAGGTCCTGGTCCGTGTCGAGGGTTTCTAGGCAACACCACTATACAAATAATAAATAATAATGAGTAGTTATGAAACCAAATGTTAAGATCAGATGTTTACCGAAAGGACATTCTAAATCAGGGGTGGGCAAACTACGGCCCATGGGACATATCCAGCCCGCGGGACCGTCCTGCCCGGCCCCTGAGCTCCTGGCCAGGGACCCTAGCCCCCGGCACCTCCCCTGCTGTCTCCCCTCCCCCACAGCCTCAGCTCGCTCGCCCTGCCACTGGCACAATGCTTTGGGCGGCGAGGCTGTAAGCCCCTGGGGCAGCGCAGCTGCAGAGCCCGGCCTGACCCAGTGCTCTGTGCTGCATGGTGGCGGTGGCGGCGTGGCCCAGCTCCAGCTAGGCGGCGCGGCTGTAGCACTGCCAGCCACCGGTGGGCTCCAGGCAGCACGGTAAGGGAGCAAGGAGCAGGGGGGTTGGATAGAGGGCAGGGGAGTTCGGGCTGGTGGTCAGGGGGTGGGGGTGTGGATAGGGGGTGGGGGGGAATAGGGAGTTGAATGGGGCAGGGGTCTCGGGGGGCAGTCAGGAAGGAGGGAGGGTTGGATGGGGCGGTGGGGGGCAGTCAGGGGCAGGGGTTCCAGGGGCAGCCAGGGGACAGGGAGAAGGGGTGGTTGAATGGGGCAGGGGTCCCGGGGGGCTGTCAGGAATGAGAGGACAGGTTGGATGGGGTGGCGGAGGTCCAGGGGCAGTCAGGGGACAGGGAGCAGGGGTGTGTGGATGAGGCAGCGGCGGTCTGGGGGCAGTCAGGGGACAGGGAGTGGGGGTGTTTGGATGGGGCAGGGGTCCCAGAGGGGCCGTCAGGGAACAGGGGGGTTGGATGGGGCAGGAGTCCCCGGGGGGGACAGATAGGAGGTGGGGGCCGGGCCACGACCCCCTCCCTTAACAGGCCCTCCATACAATTTATGAAACCCATTGCGGCCCTGAGGCCAAAAAGTTTGCCCACCCCTGTTCTAAATAGTAACCAACAACAATGTGAATTCTCAATTTTAAATTATACTTGCCCGTATGTGCACTTTTGTTGCTCAGTGCCATAAGACAGCCAATCATGTAACAAAAATGATACCATGTGATCCACGAAACTAACCAACACAGCACATGTTTTGAATTTCAAATATTTCCAGTTCTTCTTTGCTCAAAAACTTTGGGAATAACTTTGAAGAATGAATGAATGTGAGAATTTTGCAGTCTGCTTAAACTGCAGTTTACAATGTCCAACTCACTTTAACCCCTGCTCGTCACTTGTGAATCCTCTGACATTTAGTTCCCTTTTATTGTCACAGATCGCTGCCAGGAATGCAGTGCATGTTTAAGTTGTACTCGAAGATGCCTCTGTATCTCCATTATTGCGCTGCTTGCACTTGGCGTCGTAGGTGCTATCATTGGTTTTGCCGTCACATTTGGACTCCCGCCACCCACTCCTGGTCAGTCTGTTATTTTTTTCTGTCTAAACAAGTTAGTTAATCTCCAAGCAAAGTGCTGCCATTTTTTCAATAAGTTAAACATAGAAGGTGCCACTTGAAACCTGGAGACAGGGGAGAGAAAGAGAAGGAGAGAGCTGAATTTGCTCCATTCCAAACTCTTGGTGACAAGCGCTACTTTGAACGTACACTTGTCCTTGGAGCTTTAATAGGATTCTTGTAACTCTCTAGTACTTAGTGTGGGTGGTGTAATCACATTTTAATACACTTAGGCCTCTAGTGTAGTAGAGCATGTTAGCAGGTAGGATCCATGTATAAATGGACCGTTGGTCAGTTCCAGGGTGGCAGCTGAATTCCTGAAATTCCTAATGTTTTTCTTCTGGTTAAAAACGTCTTTTTGGTCTTGTCCTTGTGCTCTTGGTGAATGTGGAAATGTCTGTTAGATCTGGTGACCAGAGAGCAATTGTGACAAATCAAGACAGGGGTGGGAGGTATTAGGCATCTAGATAAGACAAAGCCTCAAATATCAGGACTGTCCCTGTAAAATCTGATCACCCTAGTTAGATAAATCAGTATCTAAGCTCATTTATGTCCTGATTTCTTTTCAGTGAACCGTTTCTGTGTGACTTCAGGTAATCAGACTGGCTTTTTGTGTGATGACAGAGTGACTTGCCTTTCAGCCAGTCAGATCTGCAACAGAATCAGAGAGTGTGTTAATGGAGAGGATGAGCAGGAGAAATTATGTAGTAAGCTTTTTTTTTTTTAAAAACATCTTCTCCCTGTGATGGTTTGTCCAGTCCTCCTGTGCATGCTCCTCACAACCCCTGGTTTCCGCATGTTCCTCCTTACTCAAAGCTTACTTTAGCACAGAATAACTGAATAGAACACTTCATAACCCAGCTGCTGAATGACCGGTTTGTTCAAGGCTGCACCAGGAGTCTGTGGAGAACCAGAAACAGAAGAATCCAGGTCCCTTGATTTGCACTTGTGAACCTTAACCATGAGGCCTCCCTCCTCCTTTGATGAAGTTATTCACAATATGATTAAATGGCCCTATTGACAGAGCATCGTGTTAGCATGTGGAAGATCTGGTTTTGATTTATGGTTCAGTCAGCTACAGAACAGATGGTCTTGTTAATGTAGCGGACAGGGATCCAGAAGATCTGGGCTGTACACCTGGCTCTGCTGCAGACTTCCCATGACACTTTGGGCAAGTCACTTAAACGCTCAGTACCTCAGTTTCCCCATCTTTAAAAGGGGAATAAGCATATTTCCCTCCATCTACCAGGGGGCCATGTAGTTTAATATTTTTCAAGTGCTTTGAGATCCTTGCATGGAAGGAGAACAGAGAATTGTAAAATAATATTAATAGCTAATAATCGGTTTCTCAGCCATTGTATTTATGTCCAACTGTTGTTGAGTGAAGTTAGAACATTTCACTATCTCCAGGTGTCTCATCTTGTAGATGATTTGCCCAGTAACCTGCCAGGATACTTGATCTTCCGCTGCAGCAACCCTGTGTACTGGATCTATGCTGATAAGAAGTGTAATGGCGCGAATGACTGTGGAGACTGTTCTGATGAAAAGGGGACCTGTAAGTCAGCCACTTCTTTTCACTGATGTAAACAATAGTTAAAGGGCTTGGTGTTTGTAAAGGATGGTGGACTGACAACCACAGAGACTGACATCCTCCTTTTACCCACAAGATAGATCAGGGGTTCTCAAACTTTTGTACTGGTGACACCTTTCACACAGCAAGCCTCTGAGTGCATTATACATTAAAAACACTTTTTTATGTATTTAACACCATTATAAATGCTGAAGGCAAAGCTGGGTTTGGGGTGGAGGCTGACAGCTTGCAACCCCCCATGTAATAACCTCACGATCCCATGAAGGGTCCCGAACCCCAGTTTAAGAACCCCTGAGATAGATAGAACGTGAGTAACAACAGTGCAGACTGCCTCATGTCATCCCACAAAACTACTTCAACCTTGCCCTTCATTCAGGCTCTATGACCCGCTCAGTCCTTGGTCTGTCTGCTGAGACTGTCAACAAGCATGCCAGATATTGTGGTTTTGTTATGTAGACATCTGTTCAATGGCCGTTGGATAGTCACCACCAATTTAATTTCACTTACGCTGCCAAGCAGACATCTGATGCTAATAACTCTTGATCACTAACAACTTGGGCCATATTCAGACTAACGACCTAGAGGTGAAAGGCTTCATAGCCCATTGCCAATCCCCTGAGCCATTCATTCTCTGGTGTATGCTGACTTTGGATTGATTTTGTCTCAAAGAATGACTGTAGCCAGCAGTGAAAATTCAAAACTAATGGCTGATTCTTATGAATGTTTACAGCAGCTTACTAAGTGCCAGTTGGAATTTAACACGCCTAAAAAAGTTCATATTTGAAAATTGAAGCTAAAGGTTGGGATTTTCAAAGCAGTCTAGGAAAAGTAGACACATCTTCCACTGAAATTAATGGAACTGTGTGTCTAAATCACCTAGACTGTTTCAAAAATCTCAGCCACAACATGCACACCTGAACTGATGCATATCAGCAGTTGCATCTAGAATAGCTAGTTTCAGATATACAGATAATGTATTACATTCAAGTAATGGCATTTGTGTGTCATGAATGTTAACTGGCTGCTCCTCTCACTGGTAGCTAACTGTCCCTGACTTCTGGAGATAGTACTGACTGAGGGACCCTTTTACATGGCAGGTTCGTGTACCCACCAGTATCTACTGCCTCTAAGAAATTAGGTGGCTGCTTAAGGTTAAATACTCTGGTGCTGGGTGAAAGCTATTCTTTCTTGTGCAGATCAATGTCTACTAGGTGAGAGGTCAGATCTGCCAACATAAAGTCTAAAACGTAATGTGTAAGAAAAGCAGAAGAGCCAATGGTCCCTGTTTTCTTTTTCACCCTAGTGGCTAGCTGCCCTCCTTGTGGGACTCAGTGGTGGAGCTGCACACCGGTGTTTTTTGAGTATTGCACCTGCATTCCCAGGGCCCTCTGCGGAGACAGAATCCAGCACTGCTCAGACTGGTCTGATGAGTATGCCTGCAATAGATGAAGTGCCAAGAGGTAGCTACGCCCCCCAGGGCATGGTCTGCATTCTCACCTGCGAGCCTTCTCCTCCTGCTGCTTTAATGCCCTGGGTTGAAGCTTTTGTCTGAAAATGACATGGCCTAGTGGTTTCCTGACTACCATGCAACAGCACTGAAAGGAGGAGGAGTACTGTATAACAGACTCAGCACAGGACTGGGAGCCAGGAATCACACAGTTCTAATCCTGTGTCTCTTGCTGACTCACTGTGTGATCATGGGCAAGTCGTTCACCTTGCTATGTCTTGGTTTCCCCATCTGTAAAATGGGGATAATACTGCTCTACCTCCCAGGGTGTGGTGATGGTTAACTAGTTACCACCTGTAAAGTACTTTGATGCTACAAAGTGCTAGCTATAGGTTGAGGTTGTGATTGTTGAGTTGTATATGCAAGTCTGCAGGGAGAGGAGGGAAATTACAGTAGACAGGGACTCTGTTTTTCTTTCCTTTTTAGGGAAAAAACCGACAAATACAGATTAAGTATCAACTAAAATAATAATAAGACCAATAGGTGACCTCACACTCTTTTTGGTTTTGATAACAACAGTCATTGCTAATTGATCACTAATCTGTTAGCATGAAAGGAGGAGAAATTCCCTGAGTCTTTTATAGCTCTCAACTATATGAAACCAGGTTGCAAACACTCATTGCTGTCTATCTATTTAAAAAAATAAATCGTGGTAAATATCCCCTGAAATTAAATTGGGTTTACTTCTTTTCTGCAGAACTATTTCTGATGTGAAAACGAGGGGAAATTTTAAAATAAGGCTTTTAAAATAAGTGATATTAAAAATTCTACCTGTATTCTTCCATTAGTTTGTTATTGTGAGGGACAGAGACACTATTTGTTAACAGTACTGTATACGTTGTGTTGTAGTGTCCCCTTTTGTGACTGATCCTAAAGCGGTCCCTCCAGGTGTATGTGTAAGACCCAGTTGCTCATCCCATGGTGAAATAGTAGTGGCTTTATAGGGGGTCAGATGGACAAGATGCAATAGTGAGCAAAGGGCCACCCCAAAATATGAGGTGAGCACAGAAACGTACATTAGAGTTGGGTAGAACAGTGTGAGCTCTGCACGTGTGCAAGTGTTACATGGGAGCCTCTCTAGCACTGATCTTTGAGTGTCCATCATCATGTCCTTTCTGTGCTTCAGCATGTAGGAGCAGGACCTCTTCACAATCCCCGAGCAGAAAACGCAATGCTCTGTGGCAGAAACCAGCTGCCTAAGTGAATGACCACAGCTACCAAGCAGAACACAGAAATAGCTACAATTTCAAACAGAGGGAAAGGCAAAGAGGAGAAACCCACCTTACAAAACCACTTCTCCTGCAAAGCCATTTAGTAACAACCTACTAAAGGCTATCTATCTGTCGGGCTTCCAGAATGGTCCCTCAGGTGGAGTATTGCTTGTTTTGCCTGTATTATGTGTCTGATTTGGATGGTCAGTTTATGATGGTAGGGATCTTATCTTCCTTTGTTTGTATGTTGCTCAGCTAATAATAGCCAGAACAGAGGCAGAAATGGAAACAAGGATTGAAGCAAGTTTGCCGTTGGGGGGTGTGGCAGAATGCTGGGCAACAGCAGCTGTGCCCACACTCTGATCATTATATCACCAATTAAATCACCTCAGGTTAAGCCTGGGGGGGCAAAGCTGTGCCTGTCTGACAGGTTAGAATGGGCTGGGGAGAGGTAAAGCACTAATTAACCCTAGGCAGTAGAACAAGACAGGAAGGAAGTAGCAGGGGGAGCCAGAGAGAGAGGGGCAGGCTGTGAGAGCCCAGGCCCAAGAGAGATCTCCTCCCTTTTCTAGCCTTGGTAGGCTGAGGAATTATACATTAATGCACTTGTAAAGGTGATGGGGGAACACTGTAAATACACCATGGGTGGTGTTTATGAGTAGAGAGTCTCCAAGCAGCCTGAGTGTGCAGAGAAAGACAGGAGCGGAGGGGACACCCTCTTACATGTGGGGACTTGTACAGATCAAGGTAAGATCCTGGACAGATAGAGAGCCTCCAGGGGAGTGGCCGATGTGAAGGTTTGGCAGCCTGGATGATGGAGGAGAGCCCGCAATGGCTGGTGGAACAGCAAAAGGGAATGCAGAAGACCCTGCAAAGCTTCCACTAGTCACACCACCTGGAGAGGCAAGTGTTGCTCGCCTGGCAGGTAGACCAGCAAAAGAGCCTGTATGACTTCATCTAAGAGCAAACCACTGTGCAGCAGCAGTTATGACAAAGGGTGGTGAGTCCCATGGCAAGAAATGGCAACTGGGTACAGGGACTGGCCTCTGTAAGATGACCCCTATGGATGACCCCAATGCATTAATGGGCACCTTTGGAAGGGTGGATATGGATGCAGACTGAGACAGGGGAACCTGGGCCCTGTGGCTATCCCCCTATTTGACTGTGGAAGCCCAGGTGGTCTACACCACTCTAAATGATGAGCACGCCTCGGACAACAAGATGGTGAAGGCAGCCATCTTGGATTGGGTGGGCCTGTCTGCTGAAAAGTATTGACAGAAGTTCTAACTTGTGAGATGGATGTGGGAGGGGTCTGTGGCCCCAGGCATTCACCCAAAAACTGACAGATTGGGCCATCTGATGTCCGAGACTGGACACCCAAACTGGGGGGGGGGAGATTAGGAATGCTCCGATTTTGGAGCCTCCCCAAGAGCATACAGGTCTGGGTCAGACAGCATCAGCTAGGTACCTTAGATGAAGCAGTTAAACTGACAGAGGAGTTTGCGGAGGCAGGCTTCCCCAGGAAAGAAGGCCGATTATTTAGGGGATCAGATCAAGGGAAGAAGTGTGGGGAACCCACTGCCTGGAAGTGTGTAGAGAAGAAGAGAGACGAGCCCAGAGATGCTCTGACAAGTACTTGTACATTTACCTTTTACCAGAGTGGGCAGCAGGAACACGTGTAAAGAGGCTGCCCATACATGGAAGGCAAGGTGTTTTGCCAGGTTCTGTGGTTGGGCTGGGATTCGCGGGAAGGGGACAGAAAAGAAACTGTCCACCATTTCTGTGATGGTGGGGAGGAAGTGTCAAAGGGGCCTGGTAAACACAGCTCCAGCTTGCTTTCTGTTCCAGTGGGCATTGGTTAAACCCCACTGGATGGTTCCAGGTAGTCTGAAATTAGTGTGTGTCCATAGGGATAAATAGCGCTGCCCAGCGGCAGAGGTACCCCGGAGGTCCGTGGGAGGCTCACTTGGAAACAGGTAGGGGTAGTAGATAGCTTACACTTCCCTATTGTGTTGGGCACCAACTGGAGGCCCTTCTTTTTGGGAAGACAAGCTGGCATTGGGGGCCCCAGGTAGGGAAATGCCTCTTGACAAGAAGATACAAGCCAAGACAAGAGAGTTTCCCTAGAGACTGAGGGGGACAGGAAGGAAAACAAAGTGGAAAGTGTAGACACTACTAGACGAGAGAATGCAAGCCAAGACATAAGGGGAGACCCCTGAGACACTGAAGGGGAGGGAATGGAAAATAAGGACAAAACCCTAGCTCATTAATGTGGGTTGGGTAGCCCTTGGAACCACCCGACAGGTGCACCAAGGGGAAAAAAGCTCAGGTATAGTTTGGCAGGATAGGAGAACCAGGGGCGGGGGGGAGAGCCCACTGGCCCCACCACAAGACTGAAGGAGTGAGAGTAGGACAAGGGGCACTCTGGAGGGCCAATGGTGTGAGGACCTGTGAGCCAAAACAGTGGGTGGAGGTTGCCCCCACAATTCTAAGTGTGTTTTCTGCCAGTGGAACAGGGCAGACCCTATAAGGAGGGCCTGGATAATCATCCTGAACACAGAGGAAGAACCCCACAAGGAAGCCCTTCTGGTAAGGGAGAGAGAGTGTGGGGTAAGAAAAATCTTTGTCAGGTGAGCGGGGGAGGTGTGGGACACAGTGCTGGGCAACAGTGACAGTACCTGCACTTGGATCACCAATTAAATTGCCCCAGAGTAAAACTGGGGGATGAAACTGTGCCTAATTGACAGATTAGAATGGGTCGGACTCGGAGATAGTTAAAACACTAATTAACACATTAGCTCAGGGAGTAGAACAAGATGCAGGAAGGAAGTGGGCAAGGAGGGGGAGGGAGAGAGCACCAGAGCCCAGAGAGAGCTCCTCCCTCTACTGTCCCAGGCCTAAGAGGATGAGGAATTATATGTTGTTGTAGATAAGGAGGGGGGGGAGTGAATGCTTGTAAACCCCACGTGTGGTTTATTTACAGAGTCTAAGCAGTCTGTGTACACCGAGCAAGACGGAAGCAGGGGGGGTACCCTGTGACAGAGGGAAAGTGGGGTCCTTTCTTCCTCCTATAACCTGTTACTGCCAATTTAAGCTTTGTGATAGGATTTAAAGTATGTTTAATCTCTTAGAAGGATATAGTTGTGGAATGGCAGTTTTCTACTCTAAGGGCAACCACAGGATTAGGCTGCTACCGTATGGTTTGTACCAGGAAGTATCAAAGTGAGAAAATAAAAACTGTTCAGTAGCAGCCCTTGGAGAAGTGGGCCACAGAAAATCAGGTGTCCCATATGTTTCGCTGTGTGGATGTTAAGTGACACAGAACCCATTAACTGTTCACACATCAGTGAAATAGCTGTAGTGGGCTCAGTGGTTGAGACTTTCAAAGCAGTTTGAGAAGTTTACGCAGGTGTCTTCCACTGTAATTAAAGAAAGATGCAATCCCTTTAGACTGCTTTGAAAATCTCAGCTACTGTATTCCTGATTAGGGATGTTATGCTTGAAAGAAGCACCGCTTTATAGTAAATACAATACATCTATGTTTATAAGCCAGAAATAAGCATCAGTCAGTACTTTCCCTAGTCCTACCACCACCTCAATTCCCATGTCAGTCCATTCCTTTTCTCTGTGGCCTGTGCAATCTGAAAGGATAGGTGTCCCCATGACTTGTGTAAATGGAGAATGTTGATTGTTATTTGTAGCTGGGTTACAGCAGTAGATCTGAAACAGCC